CGAGTCCCCAAGGGAGGAAACTTGAGTACTCGTCGGGCCGAGTTGCACATTTTACCGATGACTCACTTTTCATTGTCCCTGTTCCTCCCACAGTCGATAGTTTCCCAAACTAAAACCCCGCCCGCTACCAGGAAAACGTAACAGCTGACAGCGTAAAAACGTCTTGCAAGCGTGGTAGGAGGATGAAATATGTCTGCGGTTCGCAGGCTTCCGTTCGATATGGACACGCGCGGCGTTCAGTGTTCGCAGGAAAACAACAGATGCGTGAAAAGTATCGAACGAAGTACGGTTTTATGATCGACGTCATAGCGGAGGGACTAAGGGTACTGTACGTTTGCGGTTGTATTTTTTATTTTAATACAATTCAGAAACCACGACGTCCGCTTTATAAGATTCTGAGTAAGCAAAGCTTTTATTTTTTTTTTGTCGCAAAATCCGAGGAAGGTCTATCTTAATCTAACGCGAGAAGCAATTTACAAGACCGCAACGACCCTAATGAGATGCGATACGCGTGCTCGAGAGCGAACATGTACTCGCGTAGCCTTGACGGCAATTAGATAAGCAGGTGATTCGTGTACTCGTCCGGCGATAGGCTACGAGAAGCGGTAGGTGTACGCGCTTGGGTTTCCGACTCGTTGATTCTCGTGCGTCAAGTTGACGCAGAAGTCACCCTGTCGGCATACATATATATTTCTCGACAATCATGCAGAAATCCGGTTCTTACGGTAATCGAATCGGATGACAGGAGTAGGTAAACCGCGCAACGAGTTTTGCGCGCGCACAGGTGCATCGATTACGCGTGTGTCAGAAAATACATTATTTATGAGAGTTGCTCTCCTGACGAAAGCGACTACTGCATCTCTCGTATTTCTACTTTCGCTTCTGTAACCTAGATGTGTCAATAGTTGTTCTTTTTACTTATTATTCCTTTTATAATTTAATGATTCTCGTTACATTATCGTGCGTTCGTATAAGCCATGCAATATTATTTTTATTTCTTTTGTGCACGCAACGAATAAAATTTATATTCAGTATAATCGTATTTACAACACTTAAATGCGAACCAGTAAATGTTGACCATTATAGATTTATCTTCGTAAACTACCACATCTCTTTCTCCAACGAAATAGGCTCACATTATAAATATTGCCATAATTCATCAGCTCATTTTGTCGTGAAAAACAAAACTCGAGTTAGGGTGATATCAGTAACAGCTGGTCCATACGCCTCTTCTGATCGTTAAGTCCGACGTACCCTCGGAAACCTCCATCGCGATGGACGATAGCCCGCTCCTGTACAACGGGCACGCACATGCGAGGCCTGCAGGTGCGCGAGCGCGCGTATACACACGCAGATAACGACGTTCTTGAACGCAGATCGCGACGTAGATTTATCTGGCGCGAAGACCACTGACGCTGTTTCCTCGCGCCACCGACTCCTCCCCTTTGATAATCGTGTGTGTGAGAGGGCCTCCCTCTCTCCCTGTCTGAATTCCGAATGTGGCGAGACACGGAGGTGAGGAGAGCAAGCGAGAAAAAAAAAACTGCAGCATAACCGTGAAGGAAAGGGGACAATGTGTGCTAAAAGATGTTTGAATTAAAATCCAGAACAAAAATACAAAATACACCCAGAATACATTTTAATAATATACAAATTTTTATTCCTTGATTTATAGAGGTTTCGATATTATGCTATTAAGTACTGTAGTTTTAAGAAGATGTATTGAAAAAACAAATCTATTGTTTTTATATGTGTGCAAACATCTGTGTCATTTTATCAGTTCCGCGTTTTTTATTCATGATTTTTAAAACATTAGACTGAAAGCTGTTGATCGTGAGTTCAGAAAAAAGCTTTGTTAATCCAAAGCCAGGGTGAAGGGATTATCGAATTCGCAATATCTGTATAGCAACGGTAAATTTATGTCTTTGCATCAGATCTTCTGTAGACTCTTCATCTTCGGGCATCGTCCTAAGGGCTCATGTATGTACACTTCAGGTGTTTGTATAGGCAGCAGGTAATCGAAGCCATACGATACGCCACAATTTTCTTCGGGAAAAACGAGAAGATTACGTAGTGTATGGCGTCGAGTAACCGGTTGTAGCAGAATCATCTAACTGTTTAAAGCATAGCGTTGATAGATCTGGTCAAATGTGCCGGTCTCTGTGAGAACGCATTTACCGTTTAAAGAAATATTAAATAACCGTATATCTCAATTTGAAGTTTAATATCGCAAGTAGAATTTCACTAATGTATTTGCGATTCATGTCTTTTTTAGAGAAAAAAAGCTGCAACATTAATTTTATATCGCTATTATTTTATTAATGAATGTGATTATATTCGCATTATTGCTACCTATGGCACGCTGGCATTACAATAATTTATAATCGACATGTATCATTTATGACATTCTTGACTCAATGTGCCATTCAATGTACTTACGTAATCGTAAACTTTGAAGACGATTATAATCGCGTTTCTCGCAGCGCATATTTTCTAATTAGCAACAATAGCTGCGTTCAAATCAAGCCGGCATTTAACGGCGCAAATTAAACGCATTGAAATCACGTCTGTCAATCGCGCATTGAAAAATGTCGAGGCTACGTGTACCCGTTGACGTTGCGGCGTGATTTCGATCCGCGATCGATTCGCAAGGTTCGCATCTCGGCACTTCACCATACCATTACCCGCACGAAGAATTAATGTTCGCGCGGGGAATAAATTCCCCTTTACATGGCAAAATAATTCTCGTAAAACGCGCACGCCGCTATATTCATAATTTAATGGCCATAATTTACCGATAGCTATATATCCCGAGCGGTGCTCGTGCCTAGGCAAAATATTACGTACGTCCGTACTTCTTGGCCGCTACAGCGATATAAATGCTCCGCCGCGGATGGGCGGTCTTGATCGCGGCACGTATAAGCAGGTAGGTCAGTTAGCCGGTGAAAATTGCTTCAGCGCGAATCCAAGGTAGTCATCACAGCCCGTCTCTCTTTCGCGCACGCATAGACAATCCCGAAAGCGGTACGCCGTCATTACCATACAGAGAATGCCACACGATGTAAGTGTATCTCGCAAATAATGTCTTAATCTCGGAAACATTATTCGCTAGACGGAGGTACGGAGATAGGCAGAGCCATTGTCTCGATCGGAAGTGTGTTTGTGCGTCATTAATACGTTGAATACTACGCCGGATACAACACATTGTACTACAACAGATTAGACATGAACGTCTGCTATATTAAACCGTTCAAATAATCAAGCACTGTTTCTAGTTTCGCTACGGTTTATTTATTTTCTAAATTATTAGTGAATCTTTGCAAATCTCATAAATCCGATGAGCGAAAAGTTTGCGTAGATTGGATAAATTAAATTGATTTAGTCATCATTCTTTCAATTATTATCGAACAGTCTCTATTACTTATTTATTTAGAAAAACATTAAAAAACGATAAAATACTTGGCGGAAAATAACTACAAATCACATATCACTATTTGATTAAAAGAGATATTTTACGTTGTGCAATATATCAATTTTCTGTAAATATTTATAGTATATCCTACATCATTATCAAATTCCAAAACAATCTTAAAACATAATCTCATGTGATAAATTTCATGGAAGTTGATAAAATCAATTATTTTGCACCTGCACATGGCATTACGGAAGCAAATTATAAAGGAACTAACGACAGAAATAAATGTCAAGTAGTGTTTAGCAATTCACCCATTCGTCAGCCAAAAGCGATAATCACGTAGAAGAGGGCTCCGACCGTTAGAATGACGTTGTTTCACGCGGGTAACGATCCTCGAGATCTCATTTACAGTACAAATTAGTCGTAGGCCGGTCCTCCGTCCTTAATGGCCGGTCGGCACGCAAAGAAGTTAAGTTTAATGAAGACCGCGCGTTATCCGTGACGAACCGTGCGCGCTCGCGTTCGCAGCCGGTGTGTGCGAATGTGTGCGCGCGCGCCCATGCTCTCAGCAGTACGCCGCGGCTGAATGCGACTTAAACGAAGATTTATGCCGCGACGCGTAAATATAAACAACAATGTGCAATCCCCGGGCGCATTGTCCCGCGATGGTAGACGCGTGAGAGTCGGCCAATGCGAACTAATAAGCTCCGCCGTCCACGGCGAGGCGCGAGGGAACGCGCGCGCTCGGCGTTGCGCCTCTCCTTCGCGTGCACGCGGCCTCTGGACGATGGCGATCCGGGCACCGGCTGCCGTGTCTCCCGAGACTAATCGACCGGGGTGCAACGAGCGCGACCGAATCCATCCTCGTCTCCGCGAGAAGGCCGTTTTTTGCGCCTCGCCGGCGGAAATTTGTCTGTCGCTGCCTTAATACACCGGCTGTCAGGCGCGTCGACGGTGATCCATCTCGAGATACTTTTGGCCAAGTAGACGAATTTCTCATTTCTCATACTTCAATTCGTCGTTTTGCGATTTTTACAACGGCACCTTTGGCGCGGCAGCGACAAGCGATTCGGCATTGAGTTTAGAATTCATACCGCTTATTATTTGTTTTTCTATAATATCCGTTCTCACAAATGAATTGGTTTACGTTTAGTGAGATTTAATTAACGTTTATTAAAACTCCCGTGATCATATAAATAAAAAAAAGAACTTTTTGAAAACACTAGTGAGCCGAAAATTAAACGATAGTAGGAAACGAAAAAAATATTCGCACCGTCCGAATATGAGTAATAAAACAAATGTTTAAATCAGGTTTGAAAACAAGAATATATAGCGAAAGAATATATATATAGATATATAGATGCTGCTCGATACGCTACTCGTTTTCGCGATAAATTTGATAGGATTCCAAGAGATGCCACATACGCGCTCACCAAGTATCGTGGAGCGTCGGTGTGTTACCACCGTGAATCATATCCAAAGGAATTGTGCAATTAATTTTCGCGACGGATGCGGGAGCGGCGGATAAAACTCGTAAATCCCATTTCCGCTTTTACGCAGGCAAGCGGCAACGTGTAATACTCACACTTATGTCCTCCATACTGCAATTTCCGACATGCATTAATCCGTGATTGGCACAAATTTCCATGAACGTCGAAAATGTAGATAAAGGAGGCAACGCACATCAAACGACGTATACTGTCACTCGTAGGAAACGCGCTCCGTGCTCGCAATATTCACGTGATACTCTTCCTCGGGTAAATCACACGCTGATCGGCTCAGCAACAACATCGAGATCTTCTTCCTTCCGCGATCATCACTCAAAGAAACCGGTCAATCTCGCCACAAAGACCACATCGGTTGCGCTTCGTTCCGTCGTCTCTGGGGCCTCATTGACTCGCCAATGACACTCACCGAGAGTCACACCACGTTCGCTTCTCTACGTCGTTCCACGTCGGTATACGGCACAATGAGGGAATACGCACACGCGATGCTCACCGCAAGATCGCCGGGAGGGTCGTCGCCACCGCGACACGACGACGGCCGCGGCAGCCGGGGTGGTCCACGGAGCGTGACATCCTCCGTATCGGTCGTCGAAGTCTCCACACTCGCTTTCGGAGAGACTCGCGAACAGACGATGGTCCGGCCACCGGAATCGCGAGTGCCACTTGCCCTCGAAACTCGAGTCGCGCTCTAAAGATCTTACGTCGGCCTTAATCATCCGCGGTCACCCGACTCCGCGACTACGAGACGCCCGCGAAATCGGAGTCAGTTCACTTGGCCGGCTTCGTGAATAAGTCGCTCCACAAAAGCTGTCGCCCGAACGACAGTCGTAGATGCCTGACGTCGTCCCCGTTATCGGGCCCGCACGGAACACACCGCGGCTGAGAAAAAAAGGCCGAGACCACACACACAGCCGCCAAGAGGTGTTCGGGGATCGCCACGGACGTTCTCGGGGAACGGAACGATACGGGCGACCGCGCCGTGGGAGAGAGAGCCAAGCGTTCGCCGGCTCGGGCTGAAACTCACTGAGTCGACTCTTCTGGCTGGTGCCCGGCAGGTCTGCCCCGCGACGCGTCGTGGTGAGGGATCGTGGGGCAGACGGAGAGGGGAGTATAAAACAGGCAGGGAGAGAAGGAGAGAGAAGCGAGAAGCGATGTGGTAGAGCGAGAGACGAGGGCGACGGAGGGTTGTGGGGCCCTAACCAACGTGTCCCCTCCAACCGGCCCACCGGGTGCCCACGGGCACCGACCATTATCTCTTCTCTTAGGCAGCTCTGCTTTGCGCGAGAGACGCTACGTGGGGCAAGGGTACGGGGAGGGGTTGGAGGGCTTTATTATATTTACGAGGCGTTATCGAAGCAATCCAACAATATTGATTCCGCGCCGCGGAGCGATCGACCATCTCAAAGAACGCCCAGCCACGGACCCCTTCTATACCCGCTACATTTATACGCTACCGCAGGGCTCACGGCGCCCTTATTCTTTTCACTCTTGTGCGCTCTTGACTCCGAGACTTTTTATTTCGCTCGCCTTTCGCCTTTAATGCCAGCCGAATGCGATCGAATCGCCGCGCGCACGTTTTCCCCCGCGTGAATTACGCGGTGACCATGGGCCCTCCGCTGCTGCCGTTGCTTCTGTTGTTCCGCTGCTGGAGGTATTAAGGTGGGTGGGGTGCTTCATAAATTCGACTAGTGATCTTGATCGGGATCAGGCCGGTTTAGGGACGGGCAAGGATAATACATTAATTTCATTATGATTCTCTCATTTATGGTTAGTTCGCGTGCAAGGTCGCAGAACGAAAGATAGAAAGACAGAAAAGAAGGGAAAGAACCATTTATTATGTTTTAACATTTTACAGTTTGTCACGCTTTAATCATAAAACTTAATAAGGCTTTATAAATTTGAAATATGTATTTTTTTTGTATAATAGTAAAATTATGTAAAAAATCTCATTTTTATTACTAGGTACAAGACACTAGCGGCATTTTATAGCACATTTATCAAGAAAAGATGGATATCTCGAATTGTTAAAAAAATTTGTCACTAACAATGGCGATTAAAAGTTTGATATTTTCTTATCAAAATATGTTATTTTTTTTACTGAGTCTCTGTTGTAACTACTACTTTAATGGTTCGAGAACCTAAATATAGACGTAATATTTTATGAGTGCTCTGTATGAGAAGTAGGTCAGAGTCCTTGGTCTCTATAATTTTAATTCCGTCGCTCCGAGACTCGATACTTTTATGATAATGTTTAAAGTTTCAAATTCTACCCCGACACCATACAGCTTCGCGCATATAAATTACCTCATTAAGAACAAGAGTAGAAAAACCCATCATATTTTTCGATTCGCACTAACTGCTTCGCGTCATCGTAAACATTATGAAACAACACTGTCCATGTTTTCGCACAGTTACAACTGAAAGGTGTTACATCTTATTTTTACGATAACCATAAAAGGATGTTGTCAGATATTTATCACGTTTACGCATCTAATTTACGCATCTTGATATTGCGCAATTGCACTGTGTTCTACTTGGCGTTGTCGCGTCGCTTAATCGAAAATTTTAATTATAAAGCATTATAAAATATTCTACTAATTAATTTTACAAATAGTCTAATTTTTTGAAAGTTCAGTTTTAGATTAATTTTCTTAAATTCTTCAGTAAATTGATGTTAGAGATAACAATTTGCATTTGTTATAACTTAACTACTTAATACAAAATTATAATATAATAATATGATATTAAAATATGAAATTAATTATAATTATAAAATTAAATTTATATTATAATTATGAAATTATAATTATGAAATTAAAATAGAAGAATGCAAAGAAGAAATAAAGACTACGGATACTTTAGGCTATTTTTGCCTTAATTTGTCAGTTTATGCTCTTAACGTAATCTTCACACATTAATTTCTGCCAAGTCGCCTGTAAAATTACATTTTGTGCTCCGGTGACAACAAGGACAAATGATATCATCAGTAATACCGCCACAGCTGCAATAACGTATCAAGATCGTAAGAAGCGTAACGATCGTCGGCACTACCTTTCAAAGAAGAACTGTCCTGATTACCTCTTACACGCCCATTTGCGTGGTTGCGGTTGGGTCATGTTAGAGACAGAATCTTGTCGCGCGCGCGGATGTGTGGGTGGGTGGATCGCGTAACAACTGATCGTCCTCGCTGATCGGAACGCCAACAACGACAGCGCAGGAAGCTGCGGACGTCCCTGTAGTGTTATCCATTTGTATGACTCTCGGAATTTCATCCGTATTCGATTTAGGCCCGAAGATAACGATGCAGCTTCTCTCTCTCCCTCTCTCTCTCTCTCTCTTTCTCTCTCTTTCCTCGTCTTTTTGCTTCAGCGTACATTTACACTGCAAAGTTTTAGTGTGTTCAAATTATTGAACACATATACATACACGCAGAAAATTTTTCTCGAATAATGTAGAATACTCATAATAAAATTTACTAGATTTGCTAGGTTCCGGTAAGATATACGCGTATTCAACCGGAAATTAATATATGACAATAGAAATGTAATAGTTTGATCAGATACATCTTGTAACCTAAAGGTAAATAAATTTGCCATACTAACAAGGAAATATGAGAACAGTAAAAAAAGTCCCATACTAGTATGTGTATATTCGACGTTGTAGCTTGAATTGCCAACTTCACATGTCTTGGATTGAGCGTTGTTTTTTAAGACAGTATAGGAAAAATATAATCTAGAATGGTACCTATTGTGAACTGTATAGAAATATTCGTTGCGTATCTGGCAATAATTTATGTTCTTTATAGAAATGCGATAGTAACCGCGATCGTGGACGACGGAAGGCGCGCGGCGCGAGCGGCAACGTGGGCTCGCGCGGCGAGAGGATTCGGCTCGCGCCCGCTACGCGGCGCATCGCCGGTACATTCTCGCGTGATTAAGATTCAACATCGACCTTTATATCTAGGGCAGCTCGGCAGGGTCCCTATAGCGTTCTTAAGTTCGCACGTGGCGGACAGCTGACCGCCACAGCCTATAACGGCAACTTATTCAACTTATGTTTTTTGACATGACTGCAACAGACGTCTCGTTTTTTGTTCATCAGCGATATTCGGGATAAGACACAATCGGACAAAATATAATTGAATCATTCGTCTTTAAATTAACGTAGTAAAACGCGCTCTCGAAAGTCCCATACTTGATGGAAATATTTACTTCTGCGTATAGTTTTATTTTTTGCTCTCTAAATTTTCCTATACTTTCTTGAAATCTTTTGCATATTATGAGTATATCCTAGCCGTGCAAGATTAGTATGGTATTTACTTTGTTCGTGTATACTTGTATTTACGAGAAAAATTTTCTGCGTGTACGCATGCGGAAACGTTACTGATATAGCGCGTGAGGTTGCTGATAGAGAACTAAACACAAGGATATACGTCAGGCAACAGCGTAATCAGAGAACAGGCTCGACTGTGAAGATCATGGGACATGTTTTAAGGAGACATAGCTCATAAATTTCAGTTTTATAGTGAGAGTGAAAATAGCCATTGCTAACCACTATTTACCTGCTTAAATGTTGATCAACATTTTTCCAATAACAATACATTTTGTGATAGCATTTAAAAATTGTATTATGATAATGTACTTTGAAAACCATCTGTTTCAAACAAATTGTCAAATTTTTATATTTAATTAAATTTTACAATAATTTTGAAATGTTTGAGAGAAGATTCAATCAAACATGTGCAATCTTTCCTGTATTTTTTTTATGTATGTATTTCTGCTCACTTAATTCTCTATTATATGTAAGTTCTTTTCTCTATCGAGGAAGATACCAAAGTAATGTAAAGCTATTGGATCTCTCGAGTTGAACTCAAATATACAGTTATAACGTTCAATGCGCGCATGAATGGAGTGTAATGCACCTAAAGTATGTCCTCCGTAGCGGAGCCGAGAAGCAGCTTTCCCGCTTGGTTTCACGAGACGCGATTTACGGTCGTCGCGGTGAGAGAGGCTCGAAATCGTGCGAGCACCCTTCGCTTACGCCACTGACAGACGTAGGAAGTACAGATAGAAGTAAGAGGGGGAGAAACACCCGCGCGTCCCCCTAATCCCCGTGAAAGCGCATGATGCGCCCGCGGAAGAGCGGGGAAGGAGACTTGATGAACTTGCCTCGTGAATCACCTCGCCTATAAAAATCGGCGCCCGATGCGTGAGAGAGATAACGTCGGGGAGGAGCGGTAACAACAGGTTTGCTTATGTACGCACGTACGAGACTCCGGTGAACGCGAAGGGAGACGGTGGTAAGCACGACGGAGAAAGCGCTCGAGCAACGCGACTGCAACACGTGCATCGCGAAAGAATGTGCGGAGGTGCATGCGGCGGTGTCCGGAGCGCATCGCGCGCGCGAGTGTGTATATGTGTGCGCGTGTGTCTGGCTTGTGTGCGAAACGATATGTACGATATACGGGACGCGTATACGCACACGCGGATACGTAATACGGCGTACTCATACTTGGCACATGACCTACCACGACCGCATTGCTTGGTAATGTTCGAGTTCCACGCAGGTTGCGTCGGCGTGGCGCGAGGGTGGCGCTCTATCCACGTCGTGTTACGTTTATTGTTGCGTATACGTACGCACGGTGCGCTCGCCGCCGCGTGCGTTACGCGGCGTATAGTGGACACGAGAAAAAAATGAGGTGGACGAGGGGAGCTAGAGAGAGAGAGAGAGAGAGAGAGAGAGAGGGCGAAGGGTGTGCTTACATGCGTGTACGCTTACACCGCCGGCTCGTTGTTCGAAAATATGATGGGGGGTTTCGCGATGACTCATGAGAAAAACCAACGATCGCCGCGCTCGGTGTTCGTATCTTCCCCGTAAATATTACCGTGTGCAGGTGCAACGGTTCCGCATGCAACATGAGACTAATGCGTTATGTTGTAAGCGTCGGCGAACGAGACGGCGGCGTCATTACGATAGAAATTGATTAATCAAAAAAATTGT